GCTATTATTTGAAATAAAAAAACTATTGTTCTTGCATAAATAAAAGAGGTATAATATCCAATGTAGATTGTCTCCAACCAAATAACATCCATCAAAAGTGCACGGTGACGGTGAACCTCCTAGCCTTGCAGCTATGATGCAAAATAATCAATAGAATTCGATCAGCACTCAGAAATAGACAACATGAAATTGATGGCACTACAGTGACTAAACAATATATATATAAATCTGATCAGCAGTCATTCCTCATAGCTCAGTTGATAGAGTACTGGGCTGGGAACCTGGTGGTCTCTTGTTCGAATCCGACCACGGTTCAGATTTTCATTTCACCTTCAATCATCATTTGTTGAAATCTGTCTCCATATGGTTAGATAATTCGTTTTAAGAAAGCAGATGATATAGGTGAAATTAGTAGGAAATATCGTCACGAAACTCGAATTTATACTTTGAAGAGCTGTTCAGTGAAGAGGCTCTTTATGACAAATTAATTCACTCAGCTGTACAATCGCATTTACATAAAATTGTTTTTTATGAGAATCCACAACTTATTTCATGTGTGAAATCTGTTTACTAGGCGTGGTAAAAACAGATTGGCATTCATTCTTTTTCCGTATTCAAAAGGAGACTTCAAAGGTGATCTAGTTGCTGTCATACTAAAGAGGAGGATTTCAATTTTCCTGAAAAGAACTTTCTTTATGAAACAACTCTCAGGGTAGCGTTGTCTAATCACCCTTTACTCAGGAAAAGCCTGAAAGACAGGATCCCGCATCTGGTCACCTCTGTATATGTGTATCAGTCCATCTGGCTCTGTGGAGCTGGATACATCAGTCGCTCGACGAGAGTCCCGGCCAAAAGGGTTTAATAACACTATCCTTGGTGGTTAAAAAGAGGTAACAATGGTTCTATAAGAAGTACGATAATGGAACATGTAGTAGACGCTGGTCATTCAGTTTCAACAACCACTTTTTTCAAAGTGAAACAAAACTTGTCAAAGTCAGTGGACATCCACTTAGTTTGTATTGATGAGGCTTTAGTAATTTAGATAGAAAAGCTGGAGCATTGTATAGAAAAAAGACTTTTTCAACCCTTGCTGGTTTCATGGTCTTAATTTTCAATATTCCCAGCTCCCTCCTAACTCTTCTTTCCATTCATACGATCAACTACTCTTTGTTTCTATACTCACTCTGATTACAACAACTCATTCGTTAATATTTTGTCATGTTTTGCAAACCGTTATTCAAACTTTATGATCTTTACATAATTCTTATGATATTTTGAACAATACTCACCTATTATCGTAATTTACTTGGTTGCGGCTAGCAGTGGAACCCAAGTTGTGAGTTTCCTCCTATTTGGGACTCGTCAGTTGGGTGTACCTGTATCCCTATGAGTGATGTTGTTCTAACTCAAACTTGAACGTGGTACCCATAGCTTCAAATGCCAAACCGCGATCCACTTGGCCACAGAGGGACGATAGCCATCTCTTGTACAACGGATATTATTTATTTTTTCTATTTGTTAATATACTTGTAATTCTCCGTCGTTGTACTGAATCGAATTGTTCAACCTCTTCCAAGCGAATGCTTCAATATTGCCTGAATACTTATGATGATAATTTACTTGATCGTGGCTAGCAGAGGAATCTAGGACGTGCATTTTGTTCCATTTGGGACTCGAAATCGGAATCCCCTTTGTAAAAGAGGTGACTATCACGCCTTAGTGCATAAAGCTTTGGTGTTTGAAGTGATGAGTACCGGTCTTCTCAGTGGTAGCAACACCACTCACTGGGGAGCAGGTTCCAAATAGGACAGAATGAGTATCCTGGATTCCTGTGTTAGCCGCAACCAAATACGTTGACATCATAAGTATTCAGACAATATCGAGGTATTCGCTTTGAAAAGGCGGAACAATTCAATCCAGTATAACAACAGAGAATTACAACTATATTAACAAATAATCATACTCACCTATTTTAAAAATCCTGCATTTTATATCATGACAATTTAACTTTACTTGTTACCATGCCTCTTGATGACTTCAATATTCATATACATTTTGATTACTATAGGATGTAAGTTAAATTTCCTTTAGATATATTTACTACCTTGTTACGATGTCGGACAAACCGATTTCCCACATGAAACAAATTACATTTTCACCAAAATATATTGTATATAAATGCGATTGTACAGCTAAATGAATGAATTCACCGAAAACAGCCTACCTCTTTGCTGAACTATTTACTAAATACTGTTACCTAGTTAGATATTTGTTGAAGTAATAATTATTGAATGAACACTATGACAGAACAGTATGTTCTATTATATAGATCTTAAATATAGCCCTTGGTAATGGATAGCACAAGGTGTCTGTATACAATTGTGAGTAACCTTCACGTGCCAGGCACTCGAGTGGGACCCAGATAGGAAACGGCAAGTTGGGCGTCCGAGGGTGACATGGAGATCATGTGAAGAAGAAATGAAAGCTTATGGGCAGTGGTGCAGCCAGGTTGAAAAGATTTCAGAGTGGAATGGAGACGTGCTACTGAAGCCCTATGTCCCACTAGGATCCCAAGGGACAAATAATAATAATGATTACAATTACTGAAGGTATTTGGACATATTTTATAGGTGGCGTTAGCAACTGCATTTTAGTAATTCTGAAAGTACAGTTAGGTTAAATGGTCTTATTCTTGGCGAATACGTTAAAACTTGGGATTATGCAAATATTATCTCAACTGAAAAGACAGTAGGATGAATCTGTTAACTAGCCTTTATGTTTAACCAAAGTTACAGGCGATTATTTAGGCTACGACAAGTTTAGTTACTAAGTAACATGATACTTAAGGGAACAATCTCATTTTTCACCCTTAGGTAATCCAAGTAACACTGGAGTTTCTCATTTAACTAGACATTACGTTAAGTAAACATCAGGACACAAATCTAAACAGGGTTACGACAAATGAGCAGCTTCATGTAAGTGTGAACTGAACCGCATAACTTTTTCAACTATGTATAGTCTCGTGTTATGGATATTTATTGACAAAGTGTGAAGTACTTAGCTTCAATTTTTAGATATCCAGTTATCTGATTGTTAAACTCTCTGACTTCAGTTCTGTGGCTAATCTACCTTCTTCTTAATTATCTTCGAGTTTAACACACTTGTCTGCCATCCCCTAAGTTCACTTTCGCCTTTATTATGATTCGTAGATATACTACGACTATACTTGTCACAATAGAAATATGGAGGCTATCTAAGGATGTTACCAAACGGATAGAAAATCAGCTGTCGAAACTACACAACATATTTGTGTACACTACAGTTACGTGGTGTCAAATGAAGAGAATAATAATTGAAGCAAAAATAAATTTATTTTGTGGTGATCCCTTCGAAATGTGCTTAGAAAATAAGCATCTGCCATTCGGTAATGCAGAACTCATCTGGAGATAAAAGTGACAATAAATCTGAGTAACCATATATGTGTACTAGGCTGTTAGGAATTTCAATAACACTGGAATCGAAATGTGGACAGAGTGGATTTCGCACCTAACAACCTCGTTTGTGTTGATTCAGTAGAGTTTTATAGAAAATTAACGCTTGTCAATGTTTACAACGGGTTAAAGAAACGATGTAAAACTCAGTCCAGTACACTTCGGTCAGTTACATTTGATTTAAACGACAACTCATTTAGAAGCTGTTATGTACCCTTAACTTGCAACCATTTTTATCCCGTTTTATATCTTATCGTTCATTGGTTTAGAAACTTGACTTTTAACCAATGAGTCCGGGTTTGAATCCCACTATAACTACTTCAGCCCTCACATAAAAAAATGTGTATCATATAGCCTAGTACCACATCAAGTTACACTATTTACCAGGCAGGAAGCGGCCTAAGTTAAAATCAGTTGGTAATGTAGAAGTTTTGGATCTCAGACTTGGTTTCATGTTACAGTGTGGGCAGAGAAAACCCTTATTGATCAACTTTGTCCTACAGTTGACCGATCAGAATAAGCATCCAGCTTTTGACCTAGTGGCTTTACTTCTTGAGAAAAAACTATATAAACGATGTATTTTTTGTCAAATGAAGTTGTCTTCCTTACAGTCACAGGCCTGTTTATATCTTCTGATTTTCGCCGCATAGTGAAGTATCAGGTTGAGGAAGAATAGTCGCTATTCGTACGCAATCCAAATGTCTCCTTGTGCTAGTAGTATTCGCGTATTATTCTGTCAGTCACTTGATTACCGCTGAAAAGTAATATAAACTACGCGGTATTTGTTTCATTTTCTACACCTACCCGAATGGTTTTGTTGTGTAGTTTAAATTCACTTTGTCCTGTAGATATACTATTAATTTTTTTATACGGGCTAGCTGTACGATGCAAAGTTTCTGACAGAGAAAGTATTATCAGTACGTCGTCTTGTGTTCAATTCCCTGAGTGATTCATAGACATGGGAGAGGCATCACTAAGTTTCATCAGCTGGGTGTAAGCATTCACGGTCAGGTGATATCATGAAACTTGTATTGGCATTTTTCCAGTAATTCTAATAGCCACTCAATCAACCGCTGAAATAAGCAATAAAACTTTTATATCTCAGCCGAAATAGAGAGATTGAATTGGTTACTTCAGTCATTGCTACGGTGAACTTCAAAAGTTACTCCATTCTTCAGTTAACTCTTGTGACCACACATCAAGACGTTTAATTTGCCAATAAACGCTACCATTGCCTCTTTTCCACCCCAGTCCCTCCAACTCATAGAGATCCTAGTAGTTATGATATTGAAAAATTAAAATTTATCAGAATTTTTTTTTTAATCAATTAGACTGTTTTCTGAAGTATTACATCACTCAAATGTTACATTTATATTCTGTACAATTTCTTTACAGTTATATTCAATGGTTAAGGTTTTTGTGTCTAGGATTCGGGGAGAAAATGAGAACAAAATTGGATTAGACAGTCAATAAAAGAAGATTAACATGAGATATTCATGACGATTTTTTTTATCTTCTTAGCTGTCTCTTCATAGCAGATTTAAATGTTTGCTTCATATGCTTGAAACAGTCATGAAGGCATTGAAGACCATCACGTAGAGCATTGAAAGCTGAACCTTCTATCAAGTAGAAATATAGTTGAGAAACTTCTAAATTATATCATAATTACAGTAAAACTTGATATAAAATAGTATAACTTTGATTATCCAATCAAGTAAACTGGATGCATATGACATGGTTAACAAAGTGGGACATTTTAAGAAAGTACAGGGTGATCTAGTAGTGAATAAAAAGGCCCGATAGAGAGCAGCAGATATTCTTTATTGAGAAAATACAATTGTAACTACTTACGACATTACCATACATATATACTACTTATATACATCCTTACAAGTAGTTGTCACCATAGTAGTTTTCCAGACAAAACGCAAACTCAAATGTATCCAGAACAACCAGGTCATATTCTCCTCAAGATTAATAAAAGTCTATTGTATGAGGAAAAAAGTTGAGCTAGGTAAAGAGACAACTATTCCTTTGCGCTACAAATGAATACTCGTCAACAAAAGTATATAATCCTTTGTCGTATATCATATTACTAATTAGTAAGAACTAGAACCATTGGTAGTAGTAGTGGTAGTAATAATGAACGATCGATGATCACTTATGTATTCCTTTGAAGTGAAAGTCAAATGTTTCAAGAGAGAAGTCAAAGATTTTAAAGGAAATGAGCAATAAGTGAGCGGAAACAATACATCTTCATGGAATTAAGAGTTATATCTAAGTTATATTTGCACAAATCTCAGCGTGTTTGAAATAACAAATCCCAACGTTTTGTACAGAAGTCTGTTCTAAGCTTCTTCAGAGAAATAATCAAAATCTACATTATCATATATATATATATATAATATATATATATATATATATATATATATATATATATATATAGGCGAAAAATCGTGTAGTTTATCTCATTGTTCGATTGTGACAGGAGTATGATTAATTTTCAACAGCTTTAAACCGACGAGATGGAGTGCAACTGGCTCCTCTCCTAGCAAATAATGTTTCATAAATAGACGTAAAGAAAGCCAAACAAACCATTAACTTTATGTAGATTAGCAGTAATGCTCCATTTTATTCTATGCCTCTTTTCACTAATTATTCATCTCTATCCAAATCATCATCTACAGCATGCTGTCAATTGTATCCATGTTTTTCATGATTATTATTTATCCTGCGGCATTCAAGAAACAAACAGCTTGGTTTTATCAACACCAGCTCATTCTATTTTTATATATAGACAAAAAATGACACATTTTATACCACATACGTACAACAAGTACACATTTTCCATGCATTGACAATTATGACATCTATGACCACTAACTATTTATTGAAATACTCGTAATTCTCCGTTGTTTTATTGGATTGAATTGTTCGACCCCTATTGATATATGGGCTCCTATGCGGATAGTTCGATATTACCTGAATGTTAAATATGGTCGAACAATTCGATCCAATAAAACAACGGAGAATTACAAGTATATCAATAAATAGTAATAACTACTACAGGTTGTACAAAAAGTGGCTGTCGTTCCTCCATGAATAACGCCTTGGCATATGAAGCAATGGGTACGAGGCTCAAGTCACAGTGGCAACAAGATCACTCAACTGGGGTGCAGATACACCCAGCTGACGAGTCCCAAATAGAATGAAACGCACGTCTTGGATTCCTCTGCCAGCCACAACCAACCGAATTATCTATGACCTCCATTATTTTATAATATCTGATGTCTGAAATACAACACACACACACACACACACACACACAGGTTTACATTCATGCATCGTATGCGTCGATGGTGTGAATGACTAATAATCCGATTGCAAAACAATCATAATCTAGTCACAATTGGACAATGAGATGAACTATGCGTATTTTCACCTGTAGATTTTGATTTTCAGCCTGAAGAAGCTTAGACCCGACTTCTGTATGAAATGTTGGAATTTCTTATTTCAAACAAGCTGAGTTTTGTTTAACTTGAAACAATTAGTCCCTTTAATAAATTTCGATAACGTTATTAAAAGATGAAGATTATTTGAAAAAAAGGTGATGTATATTCACGCAATACATTTAGAACAATCTGATCTAATGTGAACTTTCCACTTGACATTCAATATTTGTGAAACTATCCAGTTATGAAAGGGATTTCCAACAAACTACAGACATTCATCAACAACTGCCTACGCTGGCTCTTTACTGAAGATCAGATGGTCAGAAAGAATAAGCAACAAGGAACTCTGGCTGACAACGAATCAATCAAGAACCTATCACCCAACAAATATGCAGAAGGAAGTGGAGATGGATTGGGCACACACTGAGAATGCCGACTGGGGACATCACGCGTCAGGACCTCGAGTAGAACTCCGATAAGAAGCGACGAGTTGGGCGTCGGTGCCGAGGGTGACATGGAAGAGATCGTGCGAGGAGGAAATGAGAGTTTGTGGGCTATCGTGGAGCCAGGTTCAAAAGATTTCAGAGAACAAAGCTCATTGGAGACGTGCTACTGAAGCCCTGTGTTCCATTAGGAACCCAAGGGACAAATAATAATAATATAATATCCAGTCAAATCTTCATCAAGATTTATATAAATTAAAAGTGATAGTTTTAAGCTGACGTCGGTCTAACGGTATGATAATTGCTTTATTTGCCACCGGTGATCATGTGATATGGCTCAACCGATGTCAGTGGCGCAGATGTATACATACATTATCCACATCTTAACGACGCTATACCGAATCTCACCACTTTCTCATTCTTCGTTTCTCTCTTTTCGTACTTTATATTTCTTTTGACTGCATTCTCTTATCTTCATCCTTTACCTCACTACCTTTCTACTTGATGTACTGATATGAGGTGTGGCAACTCGGACCATTACTCAGTAATGCCTGGTCCTAGGTTGATCTGGATGGATGGATGACCAGTGATCATAGGTTTATATACCAGCTGGACTTGTGGCTTATTGATCAAGTCACTCAGATGGTAACCGATCCTAATTCGATTGCAGCTACTTAGGGTCTGAGTAATCAATCCCTCAGTATCACTGACTTCCATATAATACATATGGTTTACCACCCAGTCCACAAAAGTACTCAATGTCGTTAAGTTGCTGGCCAAGTTCACCGTATATTTTATCCACTCTTCGGTATTACGAGACGTGGGAGATTATGACGAAATTTTACGCCGGAACGGACTTTTTTAATGATGTACCAGTAAAATTCGAAAACCTGAGTGATATATAAATAAGAAGAGTTGAATGACGAGATATACTGTCTAGTTTTAAAAGAATAGAAAAGTTTACAAATTTATTATTCCTTTTTAATCATATATTGTAGGGAGATTCACTAAGGATGAAACGTTATAGTAAATAAATCTCCGTACCGCGAAAGAAGACCAACAAAAGATAAACTCATCTGCGTGATTTGTGAGACAACTAGCTGACAGATTTCAGTGTACACTTTCAGGTATGACTTGGCATGAGATAGAAGCCATACAGTTCTCAAAGGTACCCTTCCATGAAGAAACGTGTCTATTACTTGTTGATATTCAACAGCTAGGTGTAATTCAACCGTTTCATATCATACAGCCTGGGAGACCGGTTAGTAGCATATGTTCTCATACAACAAACATGGCTTATAGTCTGGTACACAAACCTGTACCAGGTTGAGCTGCATTTCATTATAATCTAGTTCAACGGTTGAGTGTGATAATTTAAGGTGTTGAGAATAGGTGGGGTTTAGCAAGTTGGAGATCGCTCTCCCTCCTCCCCCGCACACGCACTAATACCCACCATGACGAAATAATGCCACTACTAATAGGGTGGAACTTTAGTGCAGTTGCTTAGAAGATTCATTCTCAACTACTGATCACGTTGATTGACCTACTGCGAAGCTAATTACTCCTGACAATAAGTATCACTCATAGCCGGGCGCATTGATCTGTACGTTATTACTGATTTGAGATAACAACAGAAGAAAAATCCATTGAAAATGATCTAATTGATGATCAATCAGTATACTACTACTACATAAGGTGTAACTTTTTGTTGATGTACTTGTAATTCTCTGTTGTTTTACTGGACCAAATTGTTCAAGTCCTATATAGGACAAAACGCGCATCTCGGATTCTTCTGCTAGCCATAACCAAGTAAACTACTATATAAGGTGTTTAAAATGGCCCCGACTGATAACAGCTACCTCTTTACGTGGTGGTCGGTTTTGCATATCCACACTCACCCAACTACCACCATCCTGCTAATAGTCATACCGAATTCTATTATTATTTTATTACTTCTAGTCCTCTGTTTGCAACTTCCAAATATTTTTGGACACCATCTTCGTCATTTTTCTATCTTTTAGGTTGATATGCTGACTTTATATGTAGCAAATAGAACTATTAAGCAATTAATGCCAGGCTCCACTTTGACGCTGCTGATTGTTTAGAATGCCGAAAATGTTTATGCAAATGAAGTAATTACGCGGAAATTTAGAAAATACAATAAAAAGACCCTATTTAATGCAGCAAATACTTCTTAAGGAGTTGTGTATCAGCCCAAATGAGATGGTTGCTGACGAAATCTCAGGTCGAATGCAGAGGGCCAGTTTGGCATTTGCCAACTTGCATCATTTGTGGCACCGATTGGCAATGTATCTGACTACTTATCAAAAGACAGGGATGATGCGCAGTAGTCCATTCTATCCTGTTGTACGGCTGTGAGACATGGCCATTAAAAATAGGTTTTGATCATACGTGTCTTCGTAGCATTGCTCGCGTTTGGTGAAATCATTTTGTGAGCAATATTGAAGTCAAGTGAAGGCTAATCGGCTGAAATGGCTTAAACATGCAATCCGAATGCTGATTCAAAGTCCACCATGCTAGGGGAAGTTGGATAAAGATGGAAGAGGGTTCAGGGTGGCCATACCAAGATGGTATCAGTCGATGAAGTCTCTTATTGGTGAGTTGAGTCGTGTGGGGGAGTTGTAGACTACCTACCTGGTTAGGGTTTCTGAGATGATAGGAATCAGTGGTCGAGGACTGTTGGTGATATGGCAGGAATCTGGTCACAATGGGGCAGACGTTTTCACTCCTCCACATCTTCTAAAGCTTGAATATATCGTACTAACCTCACCTTCAGATTGCTTATTCTTCCACACAACTTTGTCTACTTTGATATCAGTCTTTTTCTATCCATCTGTTCTTTTTATACTACTGTGAAGTGTGGAAACTGGAGCCGATGCACCTGTATGCGAGGTCCTATGTTGGTTTTGTCAGTTAAATTGGTACAGGCTAGTTAAAATCGATTGTTTCAGTGAATGTCACTTGATTAAGAAACACTGGATTTCATTCGCAGTATTAATGAATCCATATCTTTTAGAAGATACTAGTTTTCGTACTGAATTATTGGTTAAGTGGTTTTAGTACTCAAACAGAAAAGTATGGGTTCAAGGTTTACTCTAGTTAACGAGGTTCGAGTAGTCAAGTCATATCATTAATTCCTTAGTAATAGAGATGGTTTACAGGTTAGTGGTGAACAAAACTGCTGGTTACCAAAAAAGAAAGCAACGCAACCGGCAACCTCGTGCACTTCCCTGCAGTAGACAATTGAGCCGCATCTATTGTGTGAAGGTTAATGATACTACTTGGCTGCCCAAATCCTGACAGGTGGAGCGGGATACAAACTCGTGACCCATTGGCTAAACTAATGAATCACAGCTCCATAAAAGAACTGCCATGATTCCCTTATCAGTGGACAGAAACAACAGCTTTACGACCTCAAATGTACGTTAAAGAATCTAGACACATTGAAGTCAGGGCATTCCAGCTTGCACAGGTTTAACGCTGCAGACAAAGATTACTGCTGACTGGATGGAAGTCAAAAACGTCACGTAAATGATTGGATCGAATTGTTATTCTTAACAAAGTGTGACAACATCAATCTCCGGTGGAAAATCAAACCAATATTCCATGAAGGTAAGATCTGATGGAATACACTTCAAAGCATTCTAAGAATTCTGCGCATGTTACCCATTCTACAAGAATGTGTGCCTCATTAATTGCTTCACAGAAATACTAGAAACATTTTTGATAAATTTAATTTGTATTCATCCTACAATAAAAACACAACCTGGTAAAAAATAACTCACTCTTCATCTGAATGTCGAAATTAATCATATCCTCCAGTGGATGAGGTACACAGTAACCGCAAAAGTTAACCAGTTCACTAAAATCAGAAGTAAAGAAAGGCATAGCAATACAAGCAAAGAAAAGTGGAGAACAAGTTTAACACAACTAATACAGAAACCAGCAGAACAGTTTGCATATCACATTAGCTCTGTTTGAGGCAACGAATACGTCACCAGATGATATGTATCCTTCAAAAGGATTATCGAAGTTAACTAACGAGGTATACCAATGAATGAAAATGATAGGAACTGGGTACCATCCACAGTAAACAGCAATTCGGTGTACAGAACAACGCGTTTTCATTCGAACACATGAAAGGCTCCTTTCTCTTGGTCCTCAGCTAGACACACATGTTAGTGATCAGTCAGTTTAAAAAACAAAATCAAATAAATCCCATTATAGATCTTCAGTCATACGATGAAGCACTACTGTTTTCTGAAGATGTTTCAAGTAGAATTTATTGCTCATCATCATAAAGTATGCTGACGAGCAAGTGTCCGTAAGTAAAGTGTATGCTTTGTACCATCAAAGTGAAAAACACTTTTGCAAGACTGGCACCACCCTGTGTCTGTGCTCACCCTCTGTGGTGAACCATTGCAAGTAGTAGAAAAGTTCGTATATCTGGGACGATAAGTGATTGTTCATGCAGGCATGAGTGATAACATTTCTAACCACATATCGAAAGTCACAGTAGCATGCACCAATCTGTGCCACTTCTGGCGTCGTCAAGGTGTTAGTCTCACCGTAAACCATCAGGCTTACAACACTTCAGTGCAACCAGTTCTGCTCTACACTTGTCAAAACCGAACTCTCTAAGCTGACAATGTGCGACAACTTTGTGTCTTCCATCATCGTTGTCTCCGTAGAATTTCTCCTATCCGGTGGCAACACCATGTCAGAAATTATGATATACGACAGTGTGTATTAGCGCACGATGGAGATCGTCAATCATTAATTAAGTGAAGTCATCTAGAAACACCGGCTGCTGTGGCTTCGACATGTGTTATGCATGTCGTGTCAACGGCTTCCATACCGTTCATTGTTTGGTAGTCAGTGGACTGGATGGAAGAGGTGTGATGTGACGCCGTGAGATGAAGTATAGTTGTATCAAGGTTGGCATCTGTTGGTGCATCACGACTCACTGGATGGTGTCTGAGAGAACAGGTAACTCAGTGGCGGTCATGCAGTAGCTTTCTCCTATCTTCTGCTGCTGTAAAGCAATGAATTCTTTGTTTTCAATGTTCCTTACCGAACTGCCTTTCTAATGATGCTATTCTTACTGTTTTTCTTTTTTACTTATCGACTTCTCATCGTTTACGTCTTCATAGTGTTCATATACTATTTTGATGCCCTTGTTGTGCCACGTTTGTGTTCTAATAATAGATAAAAGAATGCTTACGAGCAATAAATAATACGGTTTCACTGTGATATAGCAAAAGAGAGAAAAAGGAACCACACTTCAGCACAATTATTATTTGTCCTTTGGGTTCTTAGTAGAACACGGCTACAGTAGCACGTCGCCATCTTACTCTCTTCTCTGAAATCTTTTCAACCTGGCTCCACAACTGTCCACAAGCTTTCATTTCTTCCTCACACCATCTTCTTCATGTCACCCTCGGTTGGGATGCCCAACTGGTCGATTCCCACTTGGGTCTCACTCGAGGGCAAGGTTTGGCACGCGATGTCCCCGAATAGTCTTCTCATGGCATGTCCAATCCATCTACACTTTCTTCTGCATATTTGTTGGGTGATTGGTTTCTCGTTGGTTCGGCGTCAGCCAGAGTTCCTTGTTGCTTATTCTTATGTCCATCTGATCTTTAGTGTCAGTATCGAGTGAGCGTAGGCGGCAGCTGTCAAAATGTATGTCTGTAGTTTGTTGGAAATGCTTTTGGTAACGCGCCAAGTCTCCCAACCATCACACAGAAGCACTGACTTACTTGACTGAATTAGTGTTGAAAATCCGATGTTGTTCACGCTTTGTGCTGAGTGCAGTAGATCTCTACACTGATTTCCGGTTATTGCAGGAAGGCCTGTCTTGCTGTCTTTCCGATACTGGCTGATTTGACATCCTTATCTGTGCCGCTGCCACTGCCTGTAGTTGAAACGATGCTTCCCTGCCTAGGTAGGTAGATGAAAGAGACAACTTCCTTTAGATTTCTCCCGTTGATGGTGATTGGTGCTTGTTGTTGATGCTGTTGTTGGTTGAGTATCTTCATCTCCTCTGTCTTCTCTACGTTCACCTGAAGGAAGTCCCGTCTTCACTGCCTCTTCTGCCAACATGTTAGTTTTCGCCTGTAGATCTTCGAGTTTGTTCGACATCAGAAATAAATCATCATCGGCGAAATCTAAATCTCCTAGGGTCTTTTCATCAGTCCAGCCAGCGTATGCCCTTCTTCTCATAGTTTCTTGCATGATCCAGTCCATTCGAGTCAACCACAATCGGGAAGATCATCAGTGATAGTAGGTAACCTTGTCTTACTCTTGTCTTCACTTCAAAGGCATCACTGAGCTTTCCATTGTGAATCACTTGGCATGTAGCGTCATATAGCTGCTGTTGAATGAGGTTGATAAAGGTTTGTAGTACTCCGCAGTGTTGAAGCAGCTGCCAAATTACTTCCTTTTCGACACTATCGAAGGCCTTTTTAAAATCCATGAAGTTGAGGTAAAGATCCAGTTGACTGCCATTCTATGCTCTGTTCTATGATGATGCGTAGCGTAGCGTTGCAATCTGATCGGCACATGATTTGTTCTTCCTGAAGCCAGCCTGTTTCGGTCGTAATTTTCATTGCAGAGTACTTTTTAGTCTCTCCGGGATGATGCGGCCTAATATTTTGCTTTGTATGGATATGAGCATGATTCGGCGCCAGTTCTCGCAAAGACTATTTTAACACAATGATCAATAATAAATCAGATAGATCAGGAATTTTAATCAGTGGAAACAACAAAACAATCTAAGGTTAGAGTGGCATTTTGTAGCGGTTACCACTGGAATTGTGAACCAAACGTCAATGCGTTAAAAACGTCAAGCCACAGTAACTAACAAACTGATTTGAACAATGCAAGAACGAAAAATAACATTTGCAGAATAAAGTAAGTTGATTTTACTTCACAACTTTTCATCAGCTGCGAACAGCCTACAATTGGAATGAAGTATTAGTAGTAAAGAGCGGCATAACATAGTTTAAGTATGCAGACATAAGTGGAGATCTGAAATCCAGGATTAACAATCAGTTGGTGAGTCGAGGAAAAACAGGATTAATAGTCACAAATCTTAGTCAAAATCCATAGTAGTTTACATCTGCGACAGAAAATAGTGGAGCTGTGGAGAGCGGTTCGGGGAGAACAAACAGACAGAAGTGTAACAGAAGGGGTTGTTAAAGAGCTAACAAGGTTAAATGATGAACAGTCAGTAAGTAATTCATCAAGAAATGATGCAATCAACTGTGTATACCCATTCACCGTGGTTGTGGGAGCAAGTACATTGGAAGTACTGAAAAAGGGTGTCTACTCGATTTTATGTTACTTTATGTTACTAAGACACTCAAGAATTTGAAAAGAATCTTTCAATCAAAACTTACAGAATTTCTTTCGAACTGGATTTAATATTTTCACTAACTACTTTGCAGTTTATATATGCTGGAACGACACAGACAATATAGGGTGTAAAGGATCATTAACTTTATGAATCTGTGTCTAAATGATAACAAGGTCTTTAAAAGCACAGTCGTCAGGCACCTCATGAAAACAGGACATCAAATAGATGTTTGTCAACTCTTCAGAATAGTCAACAAACAAAGAACGCCATGTTTATTACGGTTTGCGGAAGCTCTCACCATTAAACATTTTCAACTTGACCTATGTACTCAGAAAGAGACTGCAGCTAACCTTTTTTTACCTTGGTAACTGAACGTGATTTTTGTATGTGTCTGTATGCAGTCTTCTTTCTTTCTGTTGACTGCATCATCTCCTCATTAATTACTTACTGACTATTGATCATTTGACGGACTAGCTCTTTGACAACCCCTTCTGTTACACTCCTGTTTGCTTGTTGTCCCCCGCCATTCTCTTTCCACAGTTCTAGAATTCTCTATCTCATCGGATATAAATTACTATTGATTTTAACTGAGATTTGTGATTATCAATCCTGGATTTCAAATCTTCATTTATTTCCACATATTTAAAGTATATTATGTCATTATTACTATACATACTTCATTTCAATTGTAGGCTGTTTGCAGTTGATGAAATGTTGTGCGATAAAATCAACTTCTTTTATTCCGCATTGTTCAAATTTGTCAGGGGAATTTAAATGTATAAACCAATTGTTGATATATTTGGTTTAGCATCAGATACATAAAAATGTAGTCAGTTTATGATAAAGTGTTATCATTTTACAAAACCACTACACGGAAAATAGATTCACTATCTAAGCTATTTAGTTTTTGAAGACAACATCTTTTCAATACAACTTTAAAGATCTGTTAACTGAATCAAATTCAGTAGTGCATAGAGTATTGGTATTCATATAGATATGAACCTTCTATTTAGCTTAGCATATAACCACTACTTACTTGCTAGTTTAACTAAGTATAGTAATAATGGAGGAGACAAAATTATAGACAGTTCTACTATAGGAAGATATAGTACGAATCGAAAGTTAGCTATCTGAATCAGATCCTGATTGGTTGAAAATTGACCAAACACGTTAGTGAGTCGATTTCACACATCTCACAAATATTTCATGTATAATATTTAGTTTTGATTTAATTACTCTCAAGAAATTTCTTAGACGAGGGCTAATGGTGTATGAAATCGCTCGGAATCAGTAAGATGAATAAATATGTAAATACCAAAGTAGTCTACCTACCCTAACCAGTACTTTGTGCATTGTATTTGTCTTCCTATCACTTACACAATAACAAAATATTGAAAAAAGTAACAAAAAACAAAGAAGAAACTCATGGAACAAAATAACTGTTATTTACGAAATCTATACAATCGTACTGGGAACAAATAATAGTCTATTATGAATCTACAACTTAGGGTTACGTCATTAGGAGTAGGATAAAAACAGTTGTTTCTAAAGACAATACGAAATTAAATAATGGTAGTAATAATAATAATAATACATGGTGCAATGTATAAAGTTTGACAAGGTGAAGATAATTAGTATCGCCGCTTTGTTAATTTCTTTCAGTGCTATTTGAGAACTGTGGTTCATTAGTTTCGGGAGATAACTTCCAACCCATGGGTGATGGGTTCGAACCCCGTTTCATTTACCGAGGCTTGACCAGTAAGGTAGTAGTATCCTTAACCCTCTCAGATAAAAGGTGTGGCTCATCGCCCGATGCACGAATATGCACAAGGTTGTTGAGTTCATTCTATAAATCCTCAAGAAAAAATAAACTACTCCTACATTCCTAAAAATATTGAAATAAAAGAGGACAAGTTATTACTGATAAGCAAGCTTACTTTCTTAGTACACAATATCTGAGAGCTAAACCAAGAGTATGATCTTCTCCATAAAAAGTAAATGTTGCACGCAACTTATCATGTGAAGTGTGAGTCACTTCAAGTCCTACTTCACGTCCATTCAATTGACTTCGATTGCCTTTTATAGACATCTATAATTCCAAATAATGTGAATAAAGCCATTTAACCAAAACTAAAAAAAAGTGAATGCTTATAAAATGCTACAAAACAATTCCAATTCGAGTCAGTAAAATCTGTAAACAGAATTTTTGTTACTCGTAGGATCAAATAACTCAGGAGTGGGAATAGATGCTTAGTCATAGCATTGAATGATAATCAGCACTATGCTATGAGTCGACTGAAGCTGAAAAATATGAAAAATTGAATAACAACAGTGTTTTCGACTACGAATATGTTTGCCAAGAGATTTCTGAAACCAATAGCACCTTGGATGCGAAGGATTGTGCTGCTAAGGAGTGACGAACTGACAGAAAACAACTGTCCAGCTTACTTTACTTCGTAACAAGAACATCTCTTTATGACTAGTGGATTTTCAAGAAAGCCTTTGCAAAAAAAGAACCTTAGTTAGTCTAGGGTACTGACTGACATAAGCTAAGAAAAATAAAACCCATAAAAAGGTAAATGAAACTTCAGTAGAAAATGATTTCTCAAACTTTCTGTGTACACAAGTGAAGTTGTGAATCTCAGTCGACTAATTTGGCTTAAACATGCGCTGTAAATGACAAGCTACCACCTACCGCGACGTTAGAAGAGTGTTCAGACCAAGACCAGTTCATCAAGTTGCTTATTGTTGGTCTGATCCATGTGGACAGATGTCGACTACCGTTTGGCGTCGCTGAGATGATAGGAATCAGTGGTGAGGACGGTTGTTGATAGGGCAGGAATTCGGTCACAGTAGCGCAGATGTTTTCACTGCTTTACATCTTATAAAGCTGGGACATTCGCACTAATCTTTATGTTCAGACTGTTTATTTTCTAACACTACTTTATTGACCTTGATATAAGTCTTTTTCTATCCCCCCTGCTCTTTGTGTACTACTATGAAGTGTTGCAACCTAAGCCGATGCACCTATGTGCAAGGTTCTACGTTGGTTTTATCTATCTGTCATCTGTTTTGTGACAGCATTGTATTCCTGACCACTGAATATGTAGTGTAGTAGGGTGTTTTATTCTACCGGGTAGCTCTATTATATTACCAAGCAACAAGTGTTTACTCGTTTAGGTATTCAATGCATTACTCATGCCTATTGATACCAATGACTTAGAAAGGTTGCCATAAATTATAACATTTTGCGCAATGAATGCCAATCAACTGAATAAAACCGTAAACTAAGTGAGACGGAATGGTTCAAATACATGACGAATGTGAATAGAAACACTTGGTGGTGTACAAGCGGAACTTGAAAAATCTTCAGGATGGTTGCAGCATGAAATGAGTGTTTGTCTGAATTGTTTTAGATCGATAGGTTTTATCTAGAATTGGGGAATAACTGCCACAACACCAATGACCGTTTAATAACTTATGTGTACTACAACTTTAATCTTAAACAGTATATAAGCCCCTGGTTTCTTTATTTAGTAGTCATCAACTAACAATTAATAGCAAGGGACCAAACATCAGTGAGCTACGATTGAAGCTGTCACCCTTTACATCACTACATCAGGCGTACAAGACAACAAGAGAAAAGACAAGAAAATAAATAAATAAAAGTCACAGAAAGCCATAGGATGGAAAGAATACCAAAAGAAATAGTAAAACGTCATGTAACCGTTGATATGACGATAAAGCGTGAATGCAGACAGAGAAAAAAATCAAAGTAGAACCTCGCAAAGAAGTTTACATCCCCAACAGCATGCAAGCAACAGGTGTGATGTCAAAGCAGACAAAGGTGTATACAGGAAACAGAATAACCAAGCGTAAAGGTTAATAAAAATGTTCAACCTTTCAGAGATGTCAAAGACTGAATACATCTGCACAATTGTAAATCAGCTTTCAGACATGCAACTAAAAGTCTCCAACCACTGATTCTTATAGTCTTGAAGATGCAAGTCAGACAGACTACACCTCTCTGTATAGCTCGGAACACCAGTTAAAGTCTTCATAGACTTCATCTAACACAGTCCTACTTTGGCTAACATTGTTGTCGAGGTATGCGGTGGTGCGTCACACATAACATATACCCCAGCCACTTCAACTGGTGGAGGTTAACAATCTCATCCACTGACTTGAATTTCTTGCTTAGTACTCTATGCATAACCTCGACACTGCTCAAATTCCTATTCCATCACACAAGAGCGATGCTATGAGGACACCTGTTGACATGGATGCATCTGCCCCGCTGCCTTTAATTCTCCATTATATCACTAGGAAATTAAAGGTACTAAACTGAGTAAGTGACAGTAACTATTCTTACTAAACAGACTTATAGCAAATCAAGCCTATTGACGTTAACAGAAAGATTGTGCAGTTCGACTCACCAAGCTCTTATCAACTGGTCGAAGTTCAGAGTTATCTGTCACTGAACCACTGGACAGTTTACACTCTTCAATTTGATCACCGAAATCAGGAGTTTCAGTGACAGCTATATAATGACAGCATTTACTAATCATTACATCAAATGCACAACGGACTAATGAAGACGGTGGTCGACAGCCAGGGACTATAGTTTCGACAATGAAAATACAATGTGTTGGATCCATGCCGGAGAAAACAATATCACGAAATTCAGGATGACGCATATGCTCACGTGAGCCATTGTCCAAACGTGGATTGTCAACGAATGCTTGACCAGTTGCCGGATTTATCTAGTATAAAAGGATTTCAAAACGTAAATGACACGGAAACCAATTGAGAGATATAAGTGAAAAGTTTCAATTATAGTTCAAAGAATGAATGAAGCGACTGAGTGTACCCACTTGTTAAATTCTACTTTGATTTCCTTTCAAGAAAGTAGAATATTCAGACAAAATAGTTTAGTCTACTTGACAGCATTGATGGTGCTAATATTGTCAGCAGAAAGGTGGTAGAATATACACAAATGACTCAAATAACCAAAATGAAATGAAAGAGGAGCGGCGTCTTAACCTTATAATCCACTGATTAGTTGAGAATTGAGTGTCTAAAGCAATGAGCCACAGCACCATAACTAATGGTAATATATAAGTGTAAAACTTGGGCACGCCTGATATGAATATGGACAATAAATTATGTCCGAAACGTTATCCAGTAAATGCTACTGTTTCACTATGTGATATTTCTAATAAACAGACTAAGATGGTAATATACTCTCATAAATAGAAGTGGTTCATGATCTTGTTCTATATTGAGCGCATTAAACTTTTCAAATATTTACCATTAAAGGTGATTTTATAGAAACAATAGTAGATAGAGAAAATATTCGGTAGTTTTTTGACTATCCATGAAGTAGCTCTGAAATGTAAACAGATGAAATGACTTAGTGGAGAAAACAAAAACAAAGACATAGGGATATTTTTAATCATTTAACTGTCTTTCCAGAGATGAACATGACGTGAATGATTTGCGCATTTATCCTACAATTTCTCACTTAATAAATGCTGACTGTTTCAACGTTTATATAATTATTATAGGAACGGATGACCTCAATGGTTCAGAGAATTTTAAAGAAAGACCTCACCACACATTATTTGAAGTTGATCAACGGAGTAGAGCTAAACACTACTATACTCTGCATGTTTGCATCAACGGTTCTACAGAAACATCGATCATACCTCACGAGTTGATAGTAAGATTAAACACATGACAGTTATGTATAGCAAAATAGGCAGCATACGAATAACATGGACGATGTAGGTCGGAGAATTTCGCCTTAGTATCTATAACATTCCTTACAATACTGTCTACTGTAGTATCCCCGGTTGTTAAAGTTAAAATGGACCCCGCAATCTTGTGCATATACTTGCAGTAAGTAATCAGTCACATCTATTGTATGACGGCTAATAATACTACAGACTGGCTGTCTAGACCTCTGTAGGTGGAGTGCAGCTGGAACCCGTGATCCACTGCTTGAAAGCCATCTCCATAAACCAACGAGTCACAGCTCCATGGTTGTCTATGCAAAAGGATCGATGACGTTCTTGAGAAATCTCTTAAAGATGTGCGTGATGGAGATGCAGATCTACTACCCAAACAACGGCTATTAGACCTTGACGATATTGTTTTACTGTGCATTAACACACAAAAGCTACTTTAATTTCACTTAATTAGTTGGTGATTAGCGTCTGTAAGTGTGATGTGTGCTTTGCATCATCAAAGTGAAAAACACTTTTGCAAGACTGGCACCACCCTGTGTCTGTGCTCACCCTCTGTGGTGAACCATTGCAAGTAGTAGAAAAGTTCGTATATCTGGGACGATAAGTGATTGTTCATGCAGGCATGAGTGATAACATTTCTAACCACATATCGAAAGTCACAGTAGCATGCACCAATCTGTGCCACTTCTGGCGTCGTCACGGTGTTAGTCTCACTGTAAACCGTCAGGCTTACAACACTTCAGTGCAACCAGTTCTGCTCTACACTTGTCAAAACCGAACTCTCTAAGCTGACAATGTGCGACAACTTTGTGTCTTCCATCATCGTTGTCTCCGTAGAATTTCTCCTATCCGGTGGCAACACCATGTCAGAAATTATGATATACGACAGTGTGTATTAGCGCACGATGGAGATCGTCAATCATTAATTAAGTGAAGTCATCTAGAAGCACCGGCTTCCGTAGCTTCGACATGTGTTATGCATGTCGTGTCAACGGCTTCCATACCGTTCATTGTTTGGTAGTCAGTGGACTGGATGGAAGAGGTGTGATGTGACGCCGTGGGATGAAGTATAGTTGTATCGAGGTTGGCATCTGTTGATGCATCACGACTCACTGGATGGGGTCTGAGAGATCAGGTAACTCAGCGGCTTGAGACGTTATCAGATACGGTTCAGAAATGAAACCACCAGGTCTTTGTGTAACTGCTTCGCGCTAAATGACGATTACAAGTGTGCACTACCTTTCATTGGATTTTATCTCTTCATACAGTGCCTATGTTGACACCTTAAGTACAGCAGTTTCATTTCAAATAAAAACAAGACTGGGTAAAATAGATACTTACTCCGATCACACCAGGTGCAAAACTTTTCTGCAGTTTAATCGCTTGTTCACCTTCAATTGTACGAAGGAGTTTGATGATTGGATGAAACTTGTAGTATGCTGCTGCGACCGGAGAAAATTTAGCGTGATCTCGACCAATCCCCTTTACTGCAACACAACGAGCTTCAATTTCATCACCAAGAGCTAGTTTATTGATAAGTATTGTCGAGGATACTGGGAGGGGAGTATTACCTTCACCGAAATGTTCCTGTTGACCGGGTAATGGTACCCACTTGAGATCGGAACTAAAATAAAAGAGTTAAAAAGGCGATTTCTGTAATATACATTGATTCTCTGGTGTTACCAAGTAAACATAAACGTTTTGCTCTGTTTATCAAAACTTAGAGAAAGGTGTCCATCATATTTGGACTAGTTTAGGCTAATATTAATCCTATTTTGATGACAGGGTGGTATATTTCACTCACAAAACATCTACTTCACAACTAACAACACGAACTTCGGAATGGTTATTGGGCTACTATTTTACCAATATCCGTCAATTAAAGTTGGTTTAAAGGTGTAATATAACAATTTAGTGAAATTTGTCATCAGTAAATTAATCATAACATACACTGTGGAATATTCGTGTTCACAACACCGAGAGGAATGAAATACTAAATTAAAGACAAGACAGCAAAAGTAAGGGAATAAAAACAACTAAATGATACATTCGAGAGAGAAGCTATTGCACTTAAGAAGCAGTAAACAGAGATAAACAAGGGGAAAAAAATAAGACCAGTAGTAAAGACGATAATCAGAAGGCATGAGAACGAAAAGAAATAGGTGGAGATAAATACTGTTATGAGGCAGGAGAACTTCATACTTACAAAAATATGGGAGGAAGCATATGCTTTAATACGATTGATTTGATTCGATTGGCAGCTGCATCATACACACATCTTAACACTGTTTTCTCTCTTCATAGATCCAGTTTATGAAAATTACATGTAACTCGATTGAATACAACTATTTATTGAAACTTCTACGTTCCAGTTCAAGCACTTAAATTTCGTTCGTTCTAATCACACTTCGGCTAGCACTGTGAATCAAGCAATAGTTTGGTATTAGTAAGATGTGTTAGTTACATGGATAATATGCATAAATCTAAACGCGTAATTTTTCGCTGAACCTCAGCAAATATCACACCAGAACTTCCCTGCAAATCACAAAAGGATATATCTGCAGTATTTTATTGACTTCTATCTTCAACAACTACCTTAAAGAACAAGAGGAATAGTTGACGGTAGTGAAGTAGATTTGTCCCTTTATAGGAAGTCTCACATCAACCACAGAATTAGGAAATACCATTTGGCATATTTACTCAATGAAAAACTAGTAAGGAAGTCACACAACTAAGCAAGCAGGTGAGTATTTTAGTCATTACTATGTTAAGAAAGTTGTTTCCTTATTTTTGGAAAACAGACCACACACTAATTGGCGAATGGATTTAGGTTGATGGTTATGATGGATGATTGCGTGGGTTTTGATCAAGACATTTAAAAGGATCGTACTCGTCTTACAAACCGGTGAAGCTCTTCAAAGTGGGGATAAACCCCGAATCAAATCTCACTAAGTGGTGGTATGGCTCACTGGTTTAGGCAGTTGACTTTCAGTCAGTGGGTCATGGGCTCGAGGTTTGGGTAGCCAGGTAGTAATACTAGCTCTCATACAGTAGGTGAGGCTTATTGTCTGCTGTACCAATGCGCACAAGGTTTCTGAGAGCACTGCGATTTTTTCCGAAATCTCACTAATCCTGACAGTTCTAAGTTTGTGGTCTCCCTGCCTTTGATTCGTTTAACTGCAAAATACAGTAGATTTAAAAACCATTTTAACGCAAAATTATAAATTAAAATTAAAGGACCTGCGGAAAGGAAGTGGTGTTATAATTTATCGATGCCCAGAAATGAGGACGATGTTATTCGCAGTAATAACTGCTACCATTCGGGTTTGCACATGACAATGGCCTGACGAGTTACGGCAGTGGAACGCTTGTTCCCTTAGGGTCTTACCGTATCTGAAAGCTCTTCTGGTTGGTAGTTAAACAAAAGGCTGTTACCATTTTAGTGTAATGTTTTATGCTGTGATGGGGGTTCGAGGCCGAAGACATACTGCTGGCTGCACGAGTGGATGACCAGAACTACCATGGTGGTGCAACCTTGCCTATCAGAAGGGTTGGGAAAAGTTAGTCTTAAAAGTAGAACTCTCCCCTACTCTGTAATATTTCAGCGCCAGCGGTAAGGTTATTTTTTAGACTGGATTTAAGTCAATCAAAGATAAACCTCAAACTTCCAAAATGGCCGTATGTGACTGGCACCAAGCAGATGTCCCTTGTGCTTTCGAGTCACACACCACCATTACTAACCCCCACTAGTCCATTCTGGGCCTCTCATGAGGGAGTAGCCTTTCATGGTGTGGACAGCCAGGTAGTGTCAACTAACCTCGCAACTTTAATAGCGCTCAAGTTGTTCAGAAAACTATGTACCTCCAACACCTTTGCCTTCTAATCTTTCCAATTTACTTTTGAGATGCGTTTTCTATCATATAGATCCAAATTGCCGCTGGTAGTGAGTCGTGCTTTGTCTAATAGTATAGAGTAAAGGACTGGACGCTCTAACCGCTCCAACCACCTGGGAAGTGTGATCAGCCCGACGAAATCTCTGTACGGATACAAAAGGCTCGATTGCCTTTCGCCAAGTGTGACGCCGCCGAGATATCCGGTGGCCTATTAACAGTCGAGTGTAGTGCTGTATGTCCATGAAAGGCAAACGGTATGAAGAGGCGGTAGGCTACCGTCACCTTCTTAACAAAAACCATGTGTCGTGATGTCACCACGTCAGTAACGTAGAAGTCAGGTGTAGAGCTTTAGGGACACGAGGAAAGTCAGCTGATAGGGTCATGAACCTTCACCAGCTCAGATGGCTAGGCCATGTTTTACGTATGCCTAGTCACTGTTTGTCTTATCACAGAAACCTAGCTGAAGGATGTTCAGTCTGGAAAAAGGTTGTGGGCTGATTAATGAACAAAATCAAGGTAGAACCTCGCACACAGGTATACCATCTCAAGTTGCTACACTTCACAGTAGTCCACAAAAAACAGGTGGATAGAAAAAGCCATTTCAAAGAAGATAAAGTATTGTAAGAGGATAAACAATCTCAAGATGAAGGTTAGCGGGAATGTCGAGCTCTCAAAGATGTCAGGAAATGAGTACATCTGCGCCATTGTGGTCGATTTTCAGCCATGTCACCAAGAATCTTCAATCACTGACTCCTTTCGTTTTGGGGACACCAACCAAGCAGTCTACATCTGGCATGGATCAGACCTACGGTTAGGGACTTCATCGACTGGTGCCGTCTCGGTATGACCGCCCTGAATCTTATTTCAACTTAATCCAGCTCCCCCTAGCATTAAACGTCGAGGTAGGCTCGGCATGCATAGTACAAGCCCAAGCCATCTCAGCCAATGAAGGTTCACAACCTCATTAATTTACTCGGCTGTCCTGCCTAGTACCCATTGCCTGACCTCAAAATTATTCACACGATGGTTCTACCAAACGCTAGCAATGTTACGAAGATATACGTGATCAAAACCCAGTGATCGCTTCATGTCTTCTACTTTCAACGGCCAACTCTCACATACATATAACAAGACACAACGGACTGAACCGTAGTACATTCATCCTTTGATAAATAGTCAGATATCTTACCAGCCGGTGGCACAGATGACGCAAGTTGGTCTTCTGTATCCGAGCTGAGATTTCATTGGAAAACAGCCCGGTCGGGCTTATGCAATTCCGCAGGTAAGTGACGTAGTCGACGCAGTTTACCACTTCACTCCTTATCATTAGGCTTGGAGTATTTAAAGCAGACCAGTCCTGGAGCATCATCATAAATTTTACAGGTGCGAAACGCATGTCAAACCTACTAAGATTTCTGCTCAAGGCGTTCGAAAGACCTTGCGTCAGTGTCTTCATCAGACTCGAAAATACCATATGCATACTCCAAGTCAACCAGACGACCTCCAGATAGTACGTAAATCCCTCTGAAGTCAGACGTGCCTTAAGTTATGTCCACTAGCACGTTTACGACAAAGTTAAGTAGGAACGGTGACAGTGGACATTCCTGGCGAACACAACTAGTTGTCGTCACTTCTGATGACAACTCTTCATAACCCTTGGTTTGGCTGCATGATGTTGAGTAGAGAGCTTTGGCTGGCGTTATATACCTGCTCGGTACTCATTTTAGTCAAGCACTGCCTCAGCATCTCACGGTTGACTGAGTTAAATGCCGCCTGCAGGTCAGGAAATATGTCGTATCGATCGCCGGTAGGTGTTCCAAAAGCAGTTGGAGGGTGGAAATATGACCGATACACCCTCGTCCAGGTCTGAAACCTGTCTTTATTTTGCTGTTCTCAAGCTTCAGTTAGGTGTCGGATAACTATGGAGCCTAGGATCTTGGACACAATATTGGTCAAACTAACTCTCCTATGGTTGTCACAAGATTTCTCCCCGAAGGTTATGGACAGCCATACTAAAACATACCATGACTGAGTGAAGTCCATAACTGTTGGTCTGAACCGTGTAGAGAAGTGTAGACTTCCTGCTGGTTGGGGTGGACATGACAAAAGAAACCAGTGGTTGAAAACCACAGGTGACATGGCTTGGAATCTACCTCAATGGCACAAAACCATCCGGGCATTATCCTTATCTTAATCGTCAAGCTGCATTTTTTTTTCTTTTTATTTCTTATCTTTTCACGACTAAAACTCACTGTTTCCTTCCTTACCTTTATCTTTTATCTTGGTATCCTCTAACATGATGTTCTCAATCAACCAATCAATATCAACATAGGACCAGGCGTTACTGCGTAACGATCCAAGTTGCCACACCTCATATCAGTACATCAAGTAGAAAGGTAGTGAGGTAAAGGATGAAGATAAGAGAATGCAGTCAAAAGAAATATAAAGTACGAAAAGAGAGAAACAAAGAATGAGAAAGTGGTGAGATTCGGTATAGCGTTGTTAAGATGAGAATAATGTATATACACATCTGCGCCACTGACATTGGTTCTGAGCCATATCCCCTAGAGTCTCCAACCACTGGTTCCTCTTGTCCCCCTAACCACAACCACTTAGTCTGCATCGCCCCACATGGCCCAAACCAACAGTCAGAGACTTCATACATTGATGTCATGTTCTAGTCTGGCCACCTCGAGCCTTTTTCCAGCCTGGACCTACTTCGGCCAACATTGTGTGACGAGGCAATTGCTGACTAGATATACATAACACGTGTCCCAACCATCTCAATCGATGAAGGTTCATAACCTCGTCTAATGATTTACCTCTGCTCCCTAAAACTCTACACCTAACTTGTGCATTACTCACATGGTGACATCACGTAATACGTCTTATACTACGAAGGCAACGGTGGTCAAACACTTGAAGCCTTCTTATATCTTCCACTTTCAACGGCCATGTTTCACAGCCATGCAGTAGGACATACCGGAAAGCTGTGCAGTACACGCAACCCTTAGTAGACAAACGGATATGATGTTGTACACAGGTCAACACAATTAAAGACTAAACCTGTATGTGAAGTTATGACTTACTGATTGAAGTACTTCACTGGTAATCATTGGGGTGAAAGTCAGAAACTAGCTCAGTTTACCCAGGTTCGGGTAAGGGTAGGGGGACAGTATATGAACTAGTTCGTAGAACAGGTTTTTCATTGTCACTGCCTATAGTTGTTACTTTACCTATTGAGCTACTTTTCTTGCTTGAAACCTTACACTCGCCAGTTCTATCACTTACAACCAACACACACAGAGAACCTTAAAACTTCGTGTACAAGCACACTGGTCTAGTTATCACACTTAACACCAACATCATCATAATGTACGAACAAGTCAAATGAGGTGATTTGGCTAATTGGTACGACTATGAAGTGACGGGTACCACGTTTTAATCCTATTTCGCCGACCGCGGTCTAGGTAACAGTATACGCCCTTTCACAATGTGTAGCTCATAGCTTGGTACATAACACTGTACTGGAGAGTTACTTAAATGGACAGTCAATTATAAGCAAATAGAATGTGCAGACCACGCAATAACATAAAGCATGGATAGTACATAGCCTTTGAAATCGACTTTAAATCGCATTACCATCTGCAACGTAACAACCTCATAGAGGTTTATGCACTAGATGGTGAGTTAGACATAGCAGAATTTTTGATACAGTTCGGTTCATTATAACAAAGTAGGTCGTACACAGCAAGAACTAAGTCCATTAACTGAGAGTTGAGTGTCCAACCCAATGAGTTATATGTCCCTAAGTTAAGAACCCAAGACTTAAAGTGTTCAGTCATCAATTTCTGCTAACTCGTAAACCCTGAGGAAGATTTTAACACGATCCAGACGAATAGGGTCTTCATTAATTGGCACCGAGTCTTTTTTGATAGTTATTGACCTTTCTGAGACATCTGCTGCAAACAACGTAGTGTGTCGTGGTAGATAGTGGCCTATTGTGTGTAATGCATATCCCCTAGGGTATGAAAACTGACTTAATCCCAGGAGGGAACTCGATAATAACTAGTTGTTTTTACGAACTATGTGGATTGAGGTCAAAATCGTAATACAATATCCTGCAGTCGAAATATTGAAGGAACCAGTTGCAATATGGGGTCCTATTATATCCTGTTTGATCTCGAACTCACAACACAAACAGGAAGATAAATAGGTGTTAGCACTGTAACACCTAATGCGGACGCGTATTAGTAGAGGCAATCAGAGATCTGCTATCCTGGCAAAACCCACTCTTCTGTGCCCACTAGTTTCAGAAGACTCATATCGACTTTCTATGCGCGAGGAAGCGTTACAGACGGTTTTCTTGACCTATATGACATTCAGTAAGAATGCAGATGTTAGTCACCTAGTGTTCCTTTTTGCAGGATAGCTACTCAAGAAAACAAGTCAGTGACAATAAGCTTTCGGGACGATGAGAAAAATATTTAGAAAAAGTCAACAAGCCTACCCTAAACGTTGATCTGATACCTACAAGTACAGAAAATGTGTGCTGACTGAGGTTGTGCTATGCAACGATACATGTACTATATCAGCGAACTATCGCATATCATTACAAGCTAGAATCACAAATGATTTACTTCAAAGACGATACAGTACAAATATGAATTTTTATAACGCCCTGTTTTGTTAGTAAACGGTAAATCCGATCACTGAGACTCTTAAACGCCATCTAATCGATAATAGTAGGAGGGCAGGACCGCCTTCAAATCAATAATCCCAGAGAAAAACAGGTAATCCATGACTCAACCTTTAAATTTTAGTCTACTTGAACTTTTTAACGAAACTGGTAGGCGTAGACGGTAAATGCTTATAGACAGTAAAATGTTTCGTAAAAAAACAAACCTATGCACTGAGAAGTACTGAGCGACGGGTAAAGCACCATCCTGAGTACTATTTTTATTTGACTTCTTCTGAGTATCTTTAACAGCCTTCGTAAAGTCAACATGAATATCATAAACTAGATGCTCTTTAGGATCAAACCCAGAAATGTTGTCAGAAGCAGGCGGTTTTTTGCTTGGGAACATGAAATATTTGGGATCGACAGCGAGTGGGATCAGGCCAATGCGGTGACACATGACCTCATCTGGCATTATGCTCGTGTTTTGGGTTAGATAAACCCTTTCTATTGCAAGAGATGGAACCTCAGAAACCAACATACGACGAACTGCATTAGCGAAAGAAGAATCCAAATTAATCATGTCAAATTCCATTGTGTCGTTATCTTTGCCATCACTGATGATATCTACACGAAATTCCCTTCTGAACACATCCACATCCCAGGGGTCTTCTGGGGCAGGACGATGTATCACTCCATGGTCCTTCAACTCATAACACGTTTTGCTACTTAGTTCATCCATGCGGTAGAGAAAAGATATGAAATTTTCCACAACTCAAGGTCACTAATTTCTATATATCTAGTGGTTCCAATATCTAATTCATTATCTTCTTGCAAGCTAGTGAAAACCAACTGATTTCCTGGCCTTCCTCTCTGTGTCTCACTGTTTGGTTCATTGTCTTTGGTGGATTCAGATGCAGTAGTACTACCCACTCTCATGCTGTAGCTCTGGTTAGCCGACGATCGGTTGGTGTTGAATAAATTTGTTGGGATCATGCTATTTTTCCAAGGAAAATGGAGCGGATGGTTTTCTCAAGTGTCGTGCCACCAGGACTGCTTGTAAAAAAGCTGAAAGAGAGGAAGAAAAGATCTCCTCTGAAGTCAAGAGAGAAGCGCAAAACAAGGTTAAGGGAAGTGGAGCGTAAGGAAGGCAGAAACCAAGGTAGGTTGTAAGAAATTAAGCAAAAGATACAGCCTTATTAAATACAGTAAAATCACAGTATTAGAAAAAATCATAGAGGAGAGGAGGGACAAGTAATACTGTAGGATCGGTTATCGGAATAGAAACAACAGTGCTATTAGTGAGGGATGACAACTGGGGGTGAGATGTCTGACAGGAAAGTATAAGGTTGAGTCAAGTTCACAATGATATCAGCGACACAAGGGATCCAGTGTAGAAGTGGCTGTCCTGGACTGTGCTGAGTTGGTTGGTTGTGTCAACCTACCCCATTTCCCAGCTGGATGAGCGGAAGTGGTGAGTCGCTGCGTAGTTGTCCAACCCCTCCTTGAAGCTGTCGAGAGACGGCACAGTGGCGATCCCGGTAGGCAATGCATTCTAGTGGCCACAGACTTGTGGCGAAAAAACATTTCAGGCCACAATGGTTCTTGCTTTCTGATGGACGATTCTTCTTGGGTTGCCATGGGGATTGCCACAGTGGCCGTTCGGTAGGATTCCACTTTTCGGATAACCTACTTTACTTAGTATTCTGTAAGCAGTCGTCATGTCGCCACGTAATTGTGGTAACTAAGAGATTAGAGCCCTAGGTCTGTCAGCCCATCCTAATAGGTTTTTCACCTCATTCCCAAGACACCCGTCGTTTCTGTTGTCTGGCATTTCTATAGAGGCTTCATACCTCTTTTCAGGCATGGCGGCGCAAGCGCGTGGTTTAATTTGTTGAAATGATCATTGGTGGAGTAGAAGAAGATTTCGCTTAACTGGCCTCCACGTCTGGGATCCATCAAACTCTAGTTCCTGGGGTTTTCAACCTGTTTACAAATAAAGAGGAGTCAAGCAGTTTGAATTCGTATCAACCGGTTAATTTTTTCACGCTTCCTAATGGCTCTTGTGAAGCGGTTCTCGATCTTTAGGGGGACCGGATACGGTAGACCAGTCACTTGGCCACTGTGGCATCCACTGTGTGCATCCACGCTTCTACCTACTGTCCTTACACCGGGTAATACACTCATTCCACTTCATAAGAAATGCTGTAAGTATGATGAAACCCGCTCGGAATTACTACTTTTGGTGGCATCTAATTCACCAAAATCTGCAGCCTAGGATTTGATGAGATCTAGCATTGATGTGGACCCTCATAGTTTTATCGGACTCGCTAAGAATGAAGCCACACGGTCGAGCATCCATGCCATTCGGTACGTTGTCTTGTTGCCTTACACTGTTCCTAATCGATCCTCTGGCCAGCTAGTCGCAGTGCATCGGTATTTTGCCACGGCCTCCCAAATATAGCATTCCAATCTAACTACGCTGTTGCGTTCTTTCTCCATCTCACATTCGTGGGTACGGTACAGGTAGAAATAATTAGTAATTGGCCTATGCGTTTGTCAGGTTTGCACGAAAACAATTCTGAGATGTCTTCCTCAACCAGATGTAGTAACTGGGGGGACTACTTAATAATAATAGTGATTATAGTATGTTTGAAATAATGAATCATATGAACACATGCATTTTTCCAGGCAATATCTAAATGTTACTTCCTTATTGAAGCCGCAAAGGTTTAGAAAGAAACAACTCGTCGTGCCACACAAAGCCTTCTGGAGTAAACAATTGTTTGGATATAGCTTGTCACAATATGGGGTAAGAGCGATACGGTCAAACAGCAGTGGTGAACATCTATGAGGGTATAATCACCTAGTATGAGTAGCTGTAGTGACTCTTGAAATTTATAAGGGTATGTATCATAGTGAATGTTGAAGACAGATGTATCCGGAGACATGTCTCTATTCGATAAGTATGTACCATCTGCAGATGGCAGACCAAACTGGAATGGGCCACAGGGGAAAAATTTGGGCTCGGTATTGTATGGTGTATTAGGATTTGTCCTGGTGCGAACTTGACAGACGCGAAGACCAATCACTAATTATTCGAACTTGTTATATACCCACGAATACGAGACCAAGGAAGAACACGATAGCGTAGTCGGATGGAATAGTATATTTGGATGGTTATGCCAAAATACCGATGCGTTCCAACTAACTGGCTAGAGAGTCGAATACGAGCAATGCAACGTAACACGACAGCGTGCCAAATGGCGAGGATGCTTGACCGGGTGCCTTCAGCTTAGCGAGTCCAGTTAAACTATCAAGGTCAGCATCAATGTCGAAGTCGTCAAACCCTAGGCTATTGATTTTGGGGAAGTGTATGACGCTACAGATCACTCCCCCCCTAGTGGGTTCGTGAGGACCCTAAGACGATACCAGCCGGAAGTAAAAACCCAGTGGTTTCTCCACTGGTAAAACTCTTCCGATGGGCTCACTGCGTGAGGTGGCCCCTGGTTGTCTGAACCTTATTCTAGGGTGTCGTGGCGATTAAATAAATAAAATACAATAAATGAAATTGTACGTCGGTCGCGGTCATCTGTTCCTTTCGACGTTCCGTCCAGTGCTCGTTGCACCTGGAATATAAATAAAAGTCTTTAATACCACGAAAACGTTGCGTAAAAATGGGAATTATTTATATATAAACGTGTCGAAAAATAAAAATTTACGCTTATCTTCGCCGTTTTTTTAGTTTTTATTACATGGTAAATAAAAATTGATATAAAAAGGCAAAGTGTACGAGGGTTTGTGCTGTCGGTAAATAAGAAAAATAGTGCCTCGAAAAAAAATGGTTGGCACACACAGCTAAGTTGAATATGACTTCAGGTACTCTGGGAACCTGACGGTTCGACCTGATCGTGTTTTTTGTTGCGCCGCTGGTTGTTGCAGCTGTGCATTACCAGGCACATCGTCGAGAATTTCGATAATTGAGTCATCCGTCGGTCGGATGTAGCGAGCTGAAACGTCACTTACAATGGGGTTGCCTTCGAAATAAGCTGGTTTCAAACGGTCGATACTGACAGTATCTTCGCGTCCGCCTCGCTCAATTACATAGAATTTCTCATGTCGCTTAATCACTTTGAACGGCCCGTCGTAGGGTGGTTCAAGTGGTCGACGAACAGCGTCGTGGCGAACAAACACGTGTGATGTCTTCTGTAAACTGGGGTGGACGAAAACATCAGTCGTTTGCGGTCTAATCGGAGAAGGCCTAACTGAACGCATTGCGTTTGTAAGCCTAGTCACGTAAGATGCCCTGTCGGAAACATGTTTGAAAGTTGAAGGGGAAACAAACTCACCTGGTAGGCGAAGAGTGGTCCCATAGACGAGTTCTGCAGGAGTGCATCCAGCATCAACTTTCAACGCGTTACGAATACCTAGTAGGACTAGAGGCAGAGCCTCGGTCCACTGAGGTATGTTTGTAGCTGAAAGGGAAGCTTTCAGCTGTCGATGGAAACGCTCTACCATGCCATTTGCTTGTGGATGGTAGGCTGTCGTTCGGAACCGAGTGCAACCTAAAAGTGCCGTTAGAGCGTGAAATAGTCCGCACTCAAATTGGCGCCCACGGTCGGTTGTGACGTAGGATGGACATCCGAAGTTCGCGATCCATCTTTCGACGAAAACACGAGCAACTGTTTCGGCAGTAATATCTTTAATGGGTACTGCTTCCGGCCATCGTGTGAAACGATCAACACAGGTGAAAAGGTAGGTACATCCATTAGATTCTGGTAGGGGTCCTACAATATCTATATGGACGTGGTCGAAACGCATGTCTGGGGCTAGAAATGAGCCTAAAGGGCTTTTCGTGTGTCGCGTGACTTTACACTTTTGACAAGCTAAGCACGACTGGGCCCACTCCTTAACGTCTTTGTTCATCCCAGGCCAGCAGAAACGTTGTGCGATAAGCCTAATGGTGGCTCGTACACCTGGATGAGAGAGTTTGTGCAACGTATTGAAGACGTTGCGTCGACAACTCTTCGGAACTATTGGGCGTGGTTGACTAGCAGAGACATCGCACAAAATTGCATCCTTGTCTGATCCAACAGGACAAAGTCGCAGTTTGAGAGTTGTGGACGACAACTCATGATGCAGCTCAAGGTCTTCCTTTTGACGCCGAGCTAGTTCAACGAGATCAATACCCTCGATATAGTTTATCGAAGCTATTCGAGATAGTGCGTCGGCTGCGGAGTTGTTTGCTCCAGAAATGTGGCGGATGTCTGACGTGAACTGGGAAATGTAATCCAGCTGTCGCGACTCACGAGGGGAGTATTTGTCAGACGCCGAGCTGAGGGAAAACGTTAACGGTTTGTGGTCTGTGAAAATAATGAAATCACGACCTTCCACAGAATGTCGAAAATGGCGTACAGAACAGTACATGGCTAGGAGTTCCCTACCAAATGTACTGTATCTTGTTTCCGCGTCTTGCAGCCGCCTCGAGAAAAAGGCTAACGGTTGCCACTGGTTGTCAGTCAACTGTTGCAAAACTGCTCCAATTGCTGAATCAGATGCATCAACAGCAATACTCAGAGGAGCATTGGGGTCATGATGCATAAGCATGGTTGCGTTCGAAATGGCTTCCTTGACTTTGGAGAAAGCAAGTCTAGCCGCGTTGTCCAGAGACACGAACTTCGCAGTTCCTCGAAGTAGATCTGTGAGTGGTCTCATGACAGAGGCACAGTTAGGGATAAACCT